AAATAACTCGAAATTTTAATTAAGAAACCACCTTCTGCGGCCTAATTAAAAATGTTCCTTGTGAAATTTTACCAATAACAATAACCTAACTCTAACCCTAACCCTACACTGTTCACGCTCTAACCCTAATTATAACGCGGTTTTATAAATCACGGGTGGGGAAAATTTTTGTGGGTGCGCTACCTAAAATTTTGCAAAGCGCAATAATTATAATCGATTACTGCTTGTAATCGATTATTTACAAAATTTCCTGATGTGATTCAATGCTGCGATTTGATTATGACATATTATGTAGATAATAGATAATAAATTTTTTATAAAATATGAAGTTTTTTTTAATCAGTCCTTGTAATATTAAATAAACTTTAACTTACTAATACGTAGGCAAGATTATCATTGTTACTAATCTAAATCAGCATAATTATAGAAATTAAATTATTAGGCCTATAACGACTAATAATTCTGGCTAGTTACGGTAAAAAAATAAAGTATAACAGGCCAATTTTAGCGTCATACAGTATCAGCCACGACAATCATTAACAAATTATGATATACGATCAATTCATATTATATAATCACACAGTCGGATCTTGGTGAAAAAAAGTGCCTACAATAGATTGTGAAAATATGGAGGTTTTTTTTTATTCTATACAATAGCGTTGGTGTAGTTCATTACAAAAATAAGTGATAGTCTTGTACGATGTACATACATACAAAAAAGGCGGGTGACTATAGGGAGGTTTTATTCGACTTTTAATGTAAATTTTTGAAATACAAGGGAGGAAAAAAAAAAAACCCCCAGCTAAATACCTGGTTTTTATCGTAAGCGGTCTTATTGTTACTGTATTAAGTCAAATCTACCATATTATTTGCTAATAATATTTAGTAAATTACAGGGACAATTCTAATAAGTAAAATAATATTTATCGAAACAGGTAACATACGAATAAGGATTCGGTTTGTTTTCTTGTAGTATGCTATTGGTAAAAGATTTCGAAGAGATTCGGCTTACTGCGAAGTCATTAATCATGATTATAAATAGGTTATATAACGTATAAGTACTATTAATACTTCATAGATAAATTTGGTTATAACAATTATTATAAAAGATATATCCAAAAAAATAAATGAGGGACTGACTAAACTAACTATATTAGATAATTAGGGGAGATATCACCTAGCGCTAGTATTAAAGGAATTATTTATCCGTTACACGATTTGTGTTCTAAACAGAAATACAGAAATATCACGGATAAGTGGAATCCGATTTTAAATGGTTCATCCGCCCTGTAGATCTTACATTGTATATTTATGTTTAAAAAAATTTATATATCGATATAGATAGTATATATCGTTATCCAATATTTTGCAATACTTGTTTAATCCTCTCATAATGTCACATTCGATTTTCAAGATATTCAAATTATTATTAGGGTTTTCATTCATTATGCCTGAAAAGGAATAAGTAGTTTCGCACATGGAAAATATTGAGACACAGATCATTGTTTTTTTTTATGTATTATAATTATAAATAAAAATATATATAAATTAACCTTTTATTTATATGAAGGACTAATAGTAGAAAAATACGCGTAATTCTAAGATATAAATGTTAAATATATAATTCAATTATGCAATATTTTCCGGTGGTCGCACCTTTTGAAATCAATAAATTTACTAATTTTTAAATCTATAAATACCGAAAAAAAATCACCTTCTGCTTGAAAATCGCATTTAAAATTATTAAAAACTTTACAAATTTTTTTTTGCTAAAGTAAAATACCATGGCCTCTAATTTATCATTAGAATTTCTGGCAAACGCTTTAATGAATAGCCTCGATCGTGGGAAGATCTTTCCGCCTCAGTTGAACAATCCTGAAGAATTATTATCAGCTCATTGTAATCGAATTAGTCCTCCTACGCGACCCCCTAACGGGTTTCTCTTATGTAGAAAAAACGTTCATTTCGAAGCAAAACAACAAGGACATTGTAATATGCGTGTAATTTCCAAAGTAACCGGCAT